TCTGCCCCTGTCCCACTTGTGCTCTCTCTCTCGCTCTCTCTCTCTCAAAAATAAATAAACATTAAAAAAAGAAGAACTCTGTTTGGATTTCTACCTTTAAATAAAGCTTGGAATTTATATATTTGCTCTTTGTTATGGCATGAAGCAATGATGATTCTTATCCAGGCACCTAAAGGGGAAAAGGTTGTGTTTAACAGGTAGAGTAAAAAAATAAAATTCATCTGGTAACATCCTACCACATACAGTTAGGAAACTGAGCCTCAGAGAGATGCGGGAGAATGTCTGATGTTACACAGTGAGTGGGTAATGGAACTGGGACCTGAACCAACATCCATCAGAAGCCAGGCCTTGTGTTCTTTCCCCAAAGCATCATCAGAATGGCAGAGTTTCTCTAAAATACACTTCGCGGCGCACCTGGGTGGCGCAGTCGGTTAAGCATCCGACTTCAGCCAGGTCACGATCTCACGGTCCGTGAGTTCGAGCCCCGCGTCAGGCTCTGGGCTGATGGCTCAGAGCCTGGAGCCTGTTTCCGATTCTGTGTCTCCCTCTCTCTCTGCCCCTCCCCCATTCATGCTCTGTCTCTCTCTGTCCCAAAAATAAATAAACGTTGAAAAAAAAAATTAAAAAAAAAACAACACTTCGCACACCATGGAAATATTACTTTCTCTTGTCCCACCGTGAATGCATACACAGGCTAGAAAAAGCCAATGGCAAAGCCTGAGTAGCAGTGTAAAAAGAACCCTGCGTGGAGAGTAAGAAAATCCACCTCTGACATCAGCTTCACTCTGAACTAGCTGTATATTTCTAGGACTTGAGAAATACCATTATCCTTTCCAGACTTAAAGTTCTAGACCATTGAGATTGAATAATTGGTGACACCTTCAACATAGTTTGTTACTACACTACAGAAGGAAATTGTGTTGCCTTTCCAGATAGGTTATTTTCTTAATAAGACTGTGTGACTCAGGGACACCTGGGAGGCCCGGTAGGCTAAGCATCTGACTCTTGATATTGACACAGGTCATGATCTCACGGTTCATGAGATCGAGCCCCGTGTCAGATTCTGTGCTGACAGCACAGAACCTGCTTGGGATTCTCTCTCTCCGCCCCTCCCCTGCTTGCATGCACTTTCTCTCTCTCTCTCTCTCTCTCTCTCTCTCTCTCTCAAAATAAATAAGCATTAACAAAAATTTAAAAAGACTGTGTGAGGGGTGCCTGGGTGGCTCAGTTAAGTGTCTGACTTTGGCTCAGATCACGATATCACGGTTTGTGGGTTCAAGCCCCGCATTGGGCTCTGTGCTGATGGCTCAGAGCCTGGAGCCTGCTTCTGATGGATTCAGTGTCTCCCTCTCTCTCTCTCTGTCCTTCCCCCACTTGTGCTCTCCCTCTCTCTCAAAAGTAAATAAATAGGGGCGCCTGGGTGGTTCAGTCGGTTAAGCGTCCGACTTCAGCTTAGGTCATGATCTCGCGGTCCGTGAGTTTGAGCCCTGCGTCGGGCTCTGGGCTGATGGCTCAGAGCCTGGAGCCTGCTTCCGATTCTGTGTCTCCCTCTCTCTCTGTCCCTCCCCGATTCATGCTCTGTCTCTCTCTGTCTCAAAAATAAATAAACGTTAAAAAAAATAAAAAAAAAAAAAGAAAAAACAAAAAAATCAAAAGTAAATAAATAAACATTAAAAAAATTAATAAAAAAAAAAGACTGTGACTCAGGAAACAGAGAGGGCTTGGGGTCAATATCCAGCTCCACCAGTGACCAGCATTGTGAACCTGACAGAGCAGGCTCTTTACACCTCTTAACATCAGGTTTCTTCGGTGTGAAATGGGGGTGCACATCCTGCATCACTCCCAGGGATTTGTTAGGATCTCATTAGTGACTTAGGTGAAAACACTGCATGGTAAAATATTGGATCAATGTAAGCTATTTTCACATAATTGCCCTGCATTAGGACAAGATTTCACTACCTCGTTCCTTAGGAACAAGAAGAAGGAACTTAAACAGATTTTTGAGGAACAGAGTGCATGCTGAAGGAGATGGGGTTGGTGCCTCAGAGAGGGAAGTCTGTGTGTATCCCTCAAGCCCACCACAGGGGTACATAGGTTATGTCCAGCCCTGATGGCAAATCCTTTCTGCAAAGATAGAAACATCCCGATTCTCCAGAGTTGAAGTGGGGCATCTTTATTTTTGTTTTTAATTTTTTTTTCAACGTTTATTTATTTTTGGGACAGAGAGAGACAGAGCATGAATGGGGGAGGGACAGAGAGAGAGGGAGACACAGAATCGGAAACAGGCTCCAGGCTCTGAACCATCAGCCCAGAGCCCGACGCGGGGCTCGAACTCACGGACCGTGAGATCGTGACCTGGCTGAAGTCGGACGCTTAACCGACTGCGCCACCCAGGCGCCCCGAAGTGGGGCATCTTTATAGAAAGGAAGGAGAAATAAAGGAAATCAACAATGTAAAGGGAAAAAATGACTGACAAAAGAAAAAGTGAGTAAGGCGAGAGGAGGACGGGCTTCTAACAGACTACAGGATATTGTCGGTTTTGATAAGGTAGGATGTAAAGGAAAGATTGTTTGCAAATAGGGAGAGTTTCTTCAGAATGTTCTCAAGCCTCGCAGCTGTTCCTTTTGACTAAAGATAAGACTTTATGGATGGATTGTTATTTTAAACAACATTATTGCTCTATGATTACAACAAAGGTCATGTAATTCCAGAGGCAAGAAGATATAAAAACTCAAGAAACTTCCTGGGATCTCTTAGGATGCTGAAGAAAGCAGGGGTCCTCAAGCCTTGAATGCCAACCAGGTAATCCTACACCCAGTTGAGGGCAGAGGGCTTTCTTTGAACATTTGACTTCCTCTGCCAGACCTTCACTGGGCCAGAAATGAAAAGCTCTAGGTCTAATGATGTTAGTCATGCTTTTTGTTTCTGTGTGTGTGTGTGTGTGTGTGTATGTTTAATTTGAACTACTTATTTTCTTTCCTCTTTTATTATAAAAAGGATTACCTTTGGTGTCTGTGTCAGGTTAATTTATGGCTGTGCAATCTAATGGCTGTGAAACTTTGGGAAAGTTACTTAATGAATTTTGTGTCTTCATGTGGAAAGCAAGTTAATGATACCTGCATTGCAGCCTCATTATGATTAGATTAGGTGGCATGCAAACGTTCAATGAATGTCAGTTTGCTAAGATCCATTAGTAGATTCTTCCAAAAGATGCTACACATCCCTTCCCCCAGATAGTTGGTTTGACAGAGAAGTCTTTGCTATTTGTGTTCTAAGGGGGTTGAGGACATTGAAAATACCTCCATCACCTCTGGAAGGGAAGTTCGTCAGAGGAGCATGGGGTTAATGTGATGATATAAAGGTAGGGAGAGGGTGGGGGTGCCTGGGTGGCTCAGTTACTTGAGCATCCAACTCTTGATTTCAGCTCAGATCACAGTCCCAGGGTCTTGGATTGAGCCCCCAGTTGGGCTCCACGCTGAGTGTGGAGCCTGCTTAAGATTCTCTCTCCCTCTCCTTCTGCCGCTCCCCCATGTGTACTCTCTCTCTTTTTAAGAAAAAAAAAAAAGAGTGTAAAACAATGTGATGGGGAGAGGGTTATGATATGCTTCACCTTTTTGTTTAACACTGTGTCACAGTGCTCACATGCACTGTGCATACTTTCATATGCATCTAATCTTTAGATTGCCCAGGAAAGTTTGAATATTATGTTCCATCATTCCTGTAAGCAACCTACTATAAGATAGTTAGAATATGTATTCTGATTTTGGGATCATAAAGTATGCTCAGATAAGGATTCAATTAATTATTTACTCATCCTAATAATTATTTGGGAAAAAATCTTGGACCCGATCCCGTGTTTACACTAAAATAAATACCAGGCAGATGAAAATAAAAGAGGATATGGGCAGATATTTTCATCTTATGTGGATGGTAATGGCCTTTTTTTTTTTTTTTTTTTTTTTTTTTTTTTTGCTGACATAAATTCCAAATGTTATGAAGGAAAAGATAAATATGACAGTTTTTGAAATTCTCAGTGTGGCAAGAAACAGCAACGAGAAGATGTACAAACTGGCAAATATTCTTAGTTATATGTGAAAGACAATAAATACACAAGAAAAGCCCTACAAATTCCTGAGAAAAAAGATAGTAATCGAACAGAAAAATGCATACAGCTCTAAGTCAAAAATTCACAAAAGAAAATTTTAAAGATAAGCATTCTAGAAAAAGATGTTTAAATTCTTTTTTATATATTTTTAAATTTTTTTAATTACTAATTTAAGTAATTTAATTACTAATATTTTAAAAATACTAACAAAAACAATGAGGTTTTTCTTTATCAAGCCAAAATCAGCAAGAAAAAAAATGGACAAATTGGGTGTTCTTCAAAGTTTGGGGGAACAGTACTGTTGTCCGCACACTATTGCCCATTTATTTTCTAAAAACAAAACAAAAAAATGTGGTTATCACCTAAGTGTGAAGGAAAGAGGGTTGCCCTAAAGTCTGGAGATCTGGTTATAGCTGTGAGACAATGACCAAATGACTTCATACCCAAAGGCCTCAGGTAGACTCTCATCTGTAAAATGTGGACATTGGACCATATACTCACTTTTAATTCTAACACAGAAAAATTTACTCTTGAGACTGACTTGATTTGATTGAGCTGATTGTATAGAAAGCCCATTACTGCCTCATCTGTGAGAAAGCTTGGCTTAGGCTCCCTCTGCTGGTTCCCCAGAGAATAGCAGGAGCAGGCTCTCCACAGTGTACCAAACTGTCTCCATCCAGACTTTTCAGCCCAGTACAGTTACGTCTCTGGCGCTGGACCAGAGGTCTTGCAGGTGACATAAGTTAACTATTCCCAGTCTCTACATTTAGCTTGAGATTCCATTCATTGTATAATCTGGGTTTAGGAAAATACTTTGCTTCCTCCATATGTGATTTGGCATCTAAATTCCTGGGTCTGTCTCACCCAATGTGTTCAGGCTGCAGGTCTAGGCGAATCCAGGAGCTTCAAAGGAAAACTCCTTGTAATAAAGGCTTCTGAAACACTTCTGTGCCCAGGGGAAGAAGAAGATGGCCCCCCAAAGAATGTGGCTTCTCCTACTGCTGAGCTGTGTACTCAGCACTGAAGTCTTGGGTGGTGAGTATCCGTCACTCAGCTGGGACTGAGCCCACCCACAGCCTGTGTTCATGCAGCACACTGACAGCCATCCATTCACCCCCCAAAATATTTAGGTGCTACAGGAAATAGATGTCAAAGACAGGAACAAAAGACAATGTCACATGGTAAAAAAGTACAAGGACTCGGGTCACCTGGGTGGCTCAGTTGATTAAGCATCCGACTCTTGATTTCAACTCAGGTCATGATCTCATGGTTCATGAGTTCGAGCCCCCCATCAGGCTCCATGTTGACAGTGCTGAGCCTGTTTGGGATTCTCTCTCTCTCCCTCTCTCTCTGTCTCTCCCCGACTCTCTCTCTCAATAAATAATAAACTGTAGGGGAAAAACAAATACAAGGACTATAGAATCAAACAAATTCTAACCTCATGTGGTTGTGAGCCATAGTTAAATAATCAACTAAATGTAGATAATAACAATAGTTTTGCAAGTTTCTTGTGAAGAGGGAAGACAATGTGCACCTGACATCTAGTAGTCAATAAGTGAGCGCTATAATTAGAGGTACCCAATGTTTATGCATTGTTTTCCTATTTGAGTATACTGGGAATTCTGGGTTGCAAGGGACTTACAACCTTGTTGGAGAGATGGCTCCCCCACACATGTAGACCCAGCATCAAGTACAAAGTAACATGTCAACAAAACAAGAATCAATACCCTAGGATCTTCCAGGGGAGAAAGCCAGGAAGAGAACTCATGAGCTGAGAATAAGTATCATGGAGTATCTGAAATGGAAAGAAATGAAGTGTGGGCACATCTGGTGTAATGCCTTCGTTCTGTTTATGAGGCCCCAAGAAGGTAGAGACTTGCTCAAAGTCACAAAGCAAGATTACATAATGTTCTGGCGCCTCATCCAGGGTGCTTCTCATAGTCCTGCATGGCCCAGCGAGGGAAACCATGCCTGAGCATGTATATAACCTAACACTACTCCCACTGGGGAGTACTTTGGCCAAGGGGAGAATCAATTGGAAGAAAGCAGGAAGAGAAGCAGAGTTATTTCCAGCATCATGTTGGTGCCCGTGGCTCATGTGTGTGGTCCTTGCCTTAGCCTACCCTGGATGTGTCCTTGTGCTTCAAGGTTCTTTGCCCTCCACCCCATGCTGACTGCCAGCCACCAGTTCTGTCAATCCTTATGGCTGCTCGGGACCTGGGGGATTGAGCCGCTTTCTCTGAACCGTGCTAGAATAGGGAAGACTGGGGCGCCTGGGTGACTCAGTCGGCTGAGGGTCCGACTTCGGCTCAGATCATGATCTCGTGGTCTGTGAGTTCGAACCCTGCGTCGGGGCTCTGTGCTGACAACTCAGAGCCTGGAGCCTGCTTCAGATTCTGTGTCTCCCTCTCTCTCTGCCCCTCCCCCACTCACACTCCGTCTCTCTCTCCTTCAAAAATAAATAAACATTAAAAAAAATAAAAAAAATAGAATATGAAAGACAATGAGAGGTGGCCCTCAACTCTCCTGTGGAGGCAACCCACCAGGTGGTTATCTCCAGGAGCTTGAAATTCACCCAGGCTAAACCTGGGGAGCGAGAAACCAGTCTCCCGACTCTGGGATCTCACCAGCCCTCTCTGGTTTCTCTCCTCTGGAGGAGGTAGAGCCAGAACATACCACCGGTTACTCTACACTCGCTACTCTACTCTTCTTACAGATCTTCCTCCCTGTTGTAGAGACTTCCTGGGATTGCTGCATAGGAAGATTCGGCTGGATAGGGCTGCAGAACCAGGTCATGAATGCCCTGCTAGCCAGAGTAGGGAGCTTATCTGAAAGCATAGGAAGTCCCTAGAGATGTATAGGCAAAGGATGAAATAGATCAGGGCAAACGAGTGACAGGAGTGTCATTTGAGTGGGGAGAGAGGAAGTGCTTGCTATGTGACAACGACAGACTGCGCAAGTCTCCGAGGAACGGAAAGACCCCTGCGCTCATCTATAGCGCTGGAGTGCAGCCACGTGGTCACAAAGCCCGAGCTCGCCAGCCTGGCCTTCCCTTCATCACCGAGGCCCTCTGTATTTCCAGCCATTTCCCTGCTTCTTAAACCTTCAGATTCGGTGACGTGGCCCACTCATTAATCAAGTAGCAGGAAGAGCCTGTGCCTCTCGGTCATGGCTTCCTTGTCCAGACCTTGATTCTCCTTTCCCTTTCCACCATGCTTGCCTGGACGATTCCCTCTACTTGAGGCAAACTTAAGTGCTTGCCCTTGTGGTGCACATCTTGCACGTTTCTGCCTCCATTCCTCTGCTCACGCACCTCCTTTGCCTAACGTGTCCCCTCGCTATTGACACTACCCAGCTCACCCAGTGTCAAGTTCCATCCAAGTTGCCATCTAACCTGTCCTGTGTCCCCCTGGTCAAAAATACCCACTCCTTCCTCATAATGCCTAAAACTACCAATTTATGCCCTTTGCCCATTCTTGTGCTGCCTTGAATTATAGCTGTTTGACCTGACAACCAATGTGAGGATTCTGCCAGTTGCTGAGTGTGGCTATTCTAATTGTGTATTTCATAACTGGAGAGATAATCGTGGGATGGATGTGGGGTCCCCCTGGGTCTGCTATGAAATCGTCTTAGCTAGGGGCAGCTGGGTGGCTCAGTCAGTTAGGCATCTGACTTCGGCTCAGGTCATGATCTCACGGTTCGTAAGTTCGAGCCCTGTGTCAGGCTCTGTGCTGACAGCTCAGAGCCTGGAGCCTGCTTCAGATTCTGTGCCTCCCTCTCTCTCTGCACCTCCTCCCTCCTCTCAAAAATAAAATAAACATTAAAATTTTTTTTAATCTGATTGTAGCCTTTTCTCCAGTGCACAGTTCCCCTTACAAAGGCCATAGTTCCCTTTGGAGAAGGCTGGGAGAAAGATAACCTGTATAAAGTTTGGGCAGCCCAGCAGGATCCTTCTTCAGGACAGCCAGCCTCCCTTGCATTCTGTAGACTGACGAGTGTGGGAGTGGATTGGCTTTGCCATCATCGCTTGCAATCGCCTTCTGTGTTTGTGCAGACATCATCATGAGACCCAGCTGCGCTGCTGGATGGTTTTACTACAAGTCCAATTGCTACGGATACTTCCGGAAGCTGAGGACCTGGTCTGAGGCTGAGGTAAGGAATCTGGCCCATGCTAGGACAGGTATCTCTAAAGCCACCTGGAGGTATCTCTAAAGGGGCCACCCAGAGCTGCAGGTCTCATTTGGCTCAGAATTAAGAGTCCTCCCTTGGCATTCTGAGGAGTCACCCGCTGCTGAAATGCAGAGAATGGCGTTGTGTGTTCTCCTCTTCCAGTTCTATAAGCATGGATGGAGCAGGTGCTATGTGCCCAGATCCTAGGTGAGCTGTGAAGACATAAGAATGGACAAGAAACAGCCATTACCCTCAAGGAGTTCGCTGTCAGTAAGAAAGACAGAAATACACAAATAGAAGGAGAATGAGAAGATAAAGACCTTCCAGAAAGAACAATTGAATAGCTGCACCAGACTTACCAGAAAGAGCAGTGTGTAGGCAGTCCTGGAGCACACCAGTCTTCAGAACCACCTGACAGAAAGTGAAGCAGTCCAAACAAATGGAAGGCTTCATTGTCTACACAACCCAGCAAATGTGCTGGCTTTATCTCCCTGAGGCTTTGTCTAGAAGATACCCAAAGGGCCACCCCACCTCAGAGGAGTGTGGGAGCCAGTGCTGCCGTTTCTCTGGGTTGTGGCTGTTTAATTGACATGACTGGTTGGGGAGAATGTGGTGTGATCTGGGCCTAGAACGGCCTCAGAATTCTGTGTATAAATAACTCACCAAGGACGGAGCACCTACCAAGTGATAGCTATTGAGGATACGAAGTCTTCTCTGACCTTAAAAAGTGTGGGGTTAGTGCAAGATTGTGATCTTTAAATGGAAAATTCCAATGCAGTGTGAGCATAAGTGACTTTCCCAAGATCACACCCAGAGTAAGTAGCAGAGCAAACCCAGGGAAGTCAGCCCTAATGCAATGCTTCCTGAGCTGGTGTGAATGAAAGAGAGAGGGAGAAGGAGAGAGAGAGAGAGAGGGAAGGAGGGAGAATGTGCTAAATGAAGAAGGGGTTTCTCAGACACTGTTCTCTGAAAAGAAAAAAAAAAAGCTGGTGGAAAGTAATGGGCCTCTCCTCAATTCTTGGGAAGCAACTTGAAGAAATCTTAAAGGCCACCTGTATTGCCTGTACCCAGACATTCCAAAACTAATTCTGCCCAAAGAGGAAGTTACCTGGGAGGCTTGGGAGTAATACAGACCTGAGTTTGTTTATTTATTTTTTAAATATAATTTATTGTCAAATTGGCTAACATACAGTGTATACAGTGTGCTCTTGGCTTTGGGAATAGATGCCCATGATTCATCTCTTACATGGAACACCCAGGGCTCATCCCAACAAGTGCCCTCCTCAATGCCCATCACCCACTTTCTCCTCTCCCAACCCACTCCCCCATCAACCCTCAGTTTGTTCTCTGCATTAAGAATCTCTTTTGGTTTGCCTCCTTCTCTGTTTGAAACTATTTTTTTCCCCTTCCCTCCCCCCATGGTCTTCTGTTACGTCTCTCAAATTCCACATATGAGTGAAAACTTAGGACACCTGTCTTTCTCTAACTGACTTATTTCACTCAGCATAATACCCTCCAGTTCCATCCACATTGTTGCAAATGGCAATATTTCATTCTTTCTCATTGCCAAGTAGTATTCCATTACACATATAAACTACACAAAAAATTAAAAATAGAATTATCCTATGACCCAGCAATAGACCTGAGTTTAAATCATGACTCTGCCACTCACTAGTTATAGCCGTACCTCACTCTACCAGTTTCCTTGCTTTAACATGGGGATGTCACTTTTACCCCATGGCCTTGTCAGAAGGATTCATTAAAATAACTTACCAAGAGCTTATTACACATGCTGGGTGTTTATTTGAGGTTCTTAAGGCAAAAACGGTCCAGGATTGGTACAAAGCCTTAGCAGAGTTAATTGCTCCTGAACGTAGTGCAGAGAAGGTGCTGGAAAAGGACCCAACAAATAAATACCTTGGTTGCTGCTGCTAGTTGCCAATATTAAGGGCCAATCTTAGTTCTCGAAATTCCTGGTGTGGAGGGGACCATGAGAATGACAGTTTCCAGGTCTGAGTTCCAGGTCCTGTTATGGCACTACCAGGAGCGTGAACTTGGAGAGGAAATCTCACTGAACCACAGAGACTCTTTCCTCTTTTGTCCCAGGAACCCTTTGTGACTGGGCCTCTCACTAAACGTTGATTGGTAATCTGGCTTCCATGCCTCACAAGTTTGACAGTCAAATGAAGTTATGAAAACATGCCGGTGTTGTGAAATGGTCGGCAAGGGTGAGGAATGCATTAACATCCAACACCAGCCATGTCTAATCATGAGCAAGATACCAAAGGGGGGCATTGAAGTAGCAACTGCAGCCAAAACCATGTTTTCATTACATTAAGTTGTATCATGGAGGCAGAACCTGTAATACAACCGCAAAAGAGCATAAGATAAGTATACTTCTCTAGAAGATGTGGATATATAAAATGTTTGCCTTGTTTATTGGGACAATATGTTTCCAGTTAGAGAATGGTTATGCCACGTTTCATCCAATCCCTAAAACAAAAGGTGATTATCATTCAGGAATCGAGAAGAAAAATCCAGATTGCCTTCTCTTGATAGCATCTTTGAAAAGCAAGAATTTGGGATCAAAAAAAGACATATAGGGGCGCCTGGGTGGTTCAGTCAGTTAAGCATCTGACTCTGGATTTCAGTTCAGGTCATGATGTCATAGTTCATGGGATTGAGCCCCACGTCTGTCTCTGTGCTGACAGTGTGGAGCCTGCTTGGGATGCTCTCTCCCCTCCCTCTCTGCCCCTTCCCTGCTCCAAACAAACAAAAGACATACAGGAGTAAAACAAGTTCGGGTCTGGTGCTGAGAGTTTTAAAAGTTGCCGCAGAGAAGATAGTTATGTACTTACTAGGGTTCTGGGGTGAGGACTATGTGTTTAAACCTCAGGAGATGATTAGCACAACTTCTTGCCCACAGTACGAGTGTCAGTTGTATGGAAATGGAGCCCACCTGGCATCTCTCCAGAATGCAAAGGAAGCCAACATCGTAGCGAAGTATATAAGTGGCTACCAAAAAACCAAGCCTGTATGGATCGGCCTGCATGACCCACAAAAGGTAACCTCAGACTTGGCCCACACGTGTCCCATTGGGAGAGCCAGATAGATGGTGCCTGCATGGGAAATAGCTTCCAGGCCTACTGACGGAGGCACAGGGAGTGAATCTTTTTCAGTTACTGCCTCCAACCAACAGAGGCCAAAGCCTCAAGGTCTAGGTCTCAGTTCTGGCCGTCAACGGAGGAAATTATTTCAATGGCATCACTTTGTAGAACTTCTACCTAATTAAAGTCCTCCCAAATCTTAGAACACAAAATGACCGGCTTTTCACAGCCTAAAAAAAAGTTATGGGGCTCAGTCAGTTGGGCATCCAACTCTTGACTTCAGCTCAAGTTAGGACCTCATGGTTCCTGAGGTGGAGCCCCACATCAGGCTCTGCACTAACAGCATGGAGCCTGCTTGGGATTCTCCCCCCACACCCTTCCCCTGCATCTGTTCTCTCTCTCTTTCAAAATAAATAAGTAAACATTTTTTTAAAGCTGTGTAAGCATATATAGATATATACACGTATATGAAAACATACACACACATACACACACATACACGCACACACATCTGTTAGGGAATGTAGCTTAATTAAATTCCCATTAGATCTTGAGTTAAAGTTGGGAACTTTCAGCCAAGCTTTTTCCTAGATGCTATTATTTTTTTTCATGTTACCCATGACTTTTTTTTTTTCACTAGACCTTCGTTTTAATCTTCATCAGTACCTCATTGTAAAGAATGGTATGTGAGGTCTTTGGGCTGGGTGCCGAGGTCCCTCTGTGGGAGCTGCAGTTTACAGATTCTTCGTGGGAATCTTCTATAGTTAACCCAAACAAACATAAGGAACACCAGAAAAGAACCCCCAGACTTTCTGTTTCTTGATAAAACTTCGCCATAGATGTTGCAAATAATTTATACAATTAATTACACATTTTTATGTATTTACATTGCTGTCAACTCTCTTCTTCAGAGTTAGGACAAATATTTACATCTATTTATACAATTGTGGGGGTATTTAATTTTCTACATTCATAACTGAAGAAAGTAAGTGGCTAATAAAGTCCTTAAAAATGTGTAATGTCTCTAGTTATCAAAGATGCAAATTAAAATAGAAATATAATTTGACTTATCAGATTATCAGACTTTTGCTTTGTCTTAATGAATAATATTTTTAAGGACGTAAAGACATTGTCCAGTAGATGGAAAGCAGTTTGGCCATGCATATCAGTACCCTCAAAATATTCACATCCTTTGACCCATTAACTCCACTTCTGGGTTTTTATCCTAAAAAAATAAGTTTAAGTACAGAAACAGCTTCAGGAACAAAGTAGTTCATAGCGGTATTCTTTATAATCATTGTAAATTAGAAACAACATAAACATCATCAATACCATTAAGGTAAATTATAGTGCACCATGACCATTTAAAAATGTTTTGAAAGCAAGATACACAGTTGAGTATGTATTTTTAAAGACCACCACCTATTTTAGTCCATAAAAAGATCGTGATAAATAACAATGTTTACACCAGAAGTAACTATGCCAAAATCAATAGTAATGTTTTCCTCTTTAAATGGGGTGACTTTTCTCTTTTTCATTCTGTGCACATCCCTGGGCTTCTTGTGATGAAAGATTTTTACGGGTTTTCAAGGGGCCTGAGAGGACCGCCTGGCTGTGAGCAGGTGCACAGGCTGACTGTCTTCCATCTGTGGTCACTTGCAGAGCCAGAAGTGGCAGTGGATCGATGGGGCCTTCTATTTGTACAGAAAGTTGGCCAAGTCCGCAGGTGGGAACAAGTACTGCGTGGAGATGAACTCCAGAGAGGGTAAGATCCGCCGCCCACCCCCACCCACCTCCCCTCCCCCCCCTCCCCCCGCGGGCCCCATTTCACACCAGCAGCTCTGTTTCCCACAGGATAGTGGCCTTGCCACAGACATTATTTACCAACCCACAGTCATTTGTGATCATTTTACAATCTTCGCCATATCCATAGACCAACTATTCTTAATATCTTCTTTAAAATACACTCACTTTTTTTCTTAAATACACTTACTTTTATTTTTATTTACATTTTATTTATTTATTTTGAGAGAGAGAGAGTGAGAGGGGGAGGGCCAGAGAGAGAGAGAGAGAGAGAGAAAGAGAGAGAGAAGGAGGGAGGGAATCTTAAGCAGGCTCTGCACTGTCAGCACAGAGCCCGATGCAGGTCTCGAGCCCATGAACCGTGAGATCGTGATCTGAGCCGAAACCAAGAGTTGGACTCTTAATCGACTGAGCCTCCCAGGGGCCCCAAATACATTTATTTTTAAATCCTATTGTGTACATATGAAGGGGAAAGATGTCACATTTTGGGAAACCCAGGCTACAGGAAAGAAATACATATAACTTCTTTCTGAATTCCTTCTAGTTTGGGTTCCCCATGAGCCCTGGGAACCTCATCTTTGCCTGCCTGCTGCCCTCTTGTTTGTTTCCCTGAGTTTTGTTCCCAAAATGCAGGGCCCAGAACCTTAGCTCTAGGCTGCACACAATCACTTGAGTCTCCTCGTTTTTCTTGTCTTTCATTCCTCGCTTTTTATGCTAATAACTTCCAGTTTTCAACTTTTGTACCAATGACATTTGGGGCTGGATAATTCTTCGTTGTGGGAGCTGTCCTGTTCGTTGTAGGTTCAGGATATCCTGGTCTTCAATCTTCAGAGATCAGTAGAACCACTCCCCCACCACAGGTTGTTACAACCAAAAATGTCTCCAAATGTTGCTAAATGTCCCCTGGGGGCAAAATTGCTAGCATTTGAGAACACCGAGATTAAGTGATGTGAAAAGTCTTCTGCTGTAAAACAAGAAAACAGAATAGCAAAGAGAAAGAGGCTATTTGATGCCGAAGACAACATCCTAGTGGGTTTAAAAGGCCATCATGGTGTCACCAGGACACCCCTCCTAGGCCGGAAGTGGGCCTGGGAAAGGCCTGGACTGAGGACTCAGGAACATGACACAGGGTGGCTGTTGTCTGGGGAATAAAGCTTTTATATGCACAAAAAAAGAGTGTGAAAATTTTCCAACAGCAAAAGATGAATGGTAGAAATAAGGTAACAAACTCTGAGGCCAGGTCGAGACCCTTTGCAATAAGAGGGTCTCCTCACGGGCAAAGGAAGGGCTTCCCAATGACTTGTAGAGCCCACAGCCGCTGCTGGGAAAGGCATAGACAGCTCAGATGGAAGGAACACAACCAAGACCAATAGGTAGAAACTGGTAATACGTGACTTTCTATCTAAATTAAGGGGGGGAAAGTTTAACAATTAGCACTATCCAAAACTAGAATGTGCAGGAAGCAGTGAGAACCCCATCACTAGAATTAACCAGGCAAAAGTGGACATTGTAGTTGCAGTACCAAAAGCGTTAGAAGAGGAGCACATGGCACATGAAGGAATCAATCGAGGAACACTTTTGAAGTATAAATTCCAGGGATCACTTTGGACCTACAGCATCAGAATCTCTAAGGCTGGAGGCCAGTCCAGCTTTGGGGAAGCAATGGACTAGACACCTTTCAGAGTGCTTCCTGTGATTCTGAGATTTCAACTGGACCAACTTCTCAAACACAAGTCTTTCCCATCAGTCCGTGTTCACATGGGCAAAATCCCAGGAACGAAGCCACCTGTGTGGGAACTGGAAGCCTGATGTCTTCCTGAGAACTAGCTCTAGGTCTTTCAGACTCTCTTCCTTTTCTGGGTTCACTCAGCCCAGCTCTTAGGCACCAGAATACAGGTACTCAAGCCAGAAAAGCACAAGGAATGAAACAAGGATTAGCAAGAAACTGGTGGAAGGTAGAATTTTAGAGAGCCTTCCCTTGGCCCTGTCAGTGTCATTTTCTATTTGTGTAACAGATTTAGCCCCGCCAACTCAGTGGCTGAATTGTTTCCTTCAGACCCAAAAGGTATGGTATTAATGTCCCCAACACCGCCATGCACACGTCCTGTGTGTGGCTAGACCTGTTCCTTTTTTATGTCTATTTAGAAAGACCCTCAGAGGCCATTTTGTCTGGTCGGTTCTTTCACCCCCTCTGACTCCTTTTCTGCACCACGGCGGAACTTGCTTGTGACTCTCTGACAAATTGCACGTACAGTGCTTTCTGACAACTCTACTGGTCCTCTCTGACACATTTAAAAATGTAGTGCTACAATTTAAACGGAAACTTCAGGGGCACTTGGGGGGCTCAGTTGGTTGAGCATCCAACGCTTGATTTTGGCTCAGGTCACGATCTCACCATGGTGAGATGGGAGCCCTGAGGCAGGCTCCACGCTGGCACGGAGCCTGCTTAAGATTCTCTCTCCATCTCCTTCTGCCCCTCCCCTGTATGCATGCTCTCTCTCTCCCTCTTTCTCTCTCCCTGTTCCTCAAAAATAAGTAAACAGAAATTTCATATTCAATGGAGTTGGAGTCAAGACCATGGGCTCTGCCTTTGGAATGCCTGGGGTGGGATTCCAGTTCCTCCAGTTAGCTCTGTGACCCTGAGCCAATTTCCTACTTCTCTGTGCCTCAGTTGCCTCTCCACAGAAAGGGAAAACCAAGAGTACTAATCACCTGAACACATATATGTGAAGTGCTTATCCCAGTCAGGGTAAACTCATGGTTCTCCGACCTGGAGGGGAGGGGTATGGTCTACACACACCTCTCTGGTGTAAAGGAACGGAGGAGGAGAGTGCAATCAGACTCCTCCCTAAGTTGGTGTCCATGGGGGAGCTGCCTGTGTTCTTGATTATTTGAAGCCTAGAGCCGTGTTCTCCCGGCCCCACACCTTGTCAGTACCTAGAACTCGTCGTCTCCATATCATTACTCTCTGTGGCCCGGCTCTGGTTGCCATGGACATGGGCATGGGCTGGCCCCATCCTCTCTACCTCTGGAGACCTCTGAAGGGGAGGTGGCACACCTTCCCCCAATTTGCCTGGCAGTGCCCTCTGTCCCCGGGGCTCTCATCCCACCAACACACACTGGCCCCAGGGCAGGACGCACAGGTCAGAGCCAGACGGACAGACGTCTAACGACTCACCACTCTGCTGCCCACACCGCAGGGTGATAAGCAGATCTGTGGACAGCCCTGGTGGGCCCTGTCCACAAAAATACTTCCGTTTCCAAGATCACCTGCTCCTTGCCGTCAGTCCTTCTTTATAAAGGGGTGGCCTGTGGGACGTGACTGGCTCAGCAGCTTCCAGTCCTCAGCTGCGGACTTTGGAAAAACCACCTCCGCATCCTTGCAGCCTCCTGTTACAGACACAAAAGAACCCCGCTTTTACGTCCAGCTCTGTCTTCCCCTCCGAAGTTTCGCTGGCATGGGGCTTCTGCAATTGTGCCTGACGTTTACATTATTTTTCTTTCCGTGAACAAAGTTAGTGCTGGTATTCGTCAGAGAAACAGAAGTAATTGGATGTATACGGAGAGAGATAGATTTCTTTTAAAGTGGCTCCCAGGCGCCTGGGTGGCTCGGTCAGTTAAGCATCTGACTTTGGCTCAGGTCATTGATCTCATGGTTCGTGAGTTCCAGCCCCACATCGGGTGAGCTCGAGCCCTGCTTTGAGTGAGCCCCACTTCTCTCCCTCTCTCTGCCCCTCACTCACTTGCACCGTCTCTCTCAAAAAAAAAAAAAAAAAAAAAAAAAAAGGCTTTTGTGATTGTCGGGCCAGCAAAGCTGACATGCACAGGGCAGGCTACGGACTGTGAGTTCCCACATGCTCTGATGTCACAATCCTGAGGCCAGGGCACTTTGGAAGCAGAATTCCTTGCTCTTTGGGAAAACTCGGTCTTTTCACTGATTGGATGATTACCTACATTATGGAGGGTAGTCTGCTTCACTCATGAAATTTTCTCATTACTAGTTTAAATACTAATCACATCCCAAACAAATCACCTCTGCAGCAACACGTAGACTGGTGTTTGACCCAACGCCTGGGCCCACCTCCTAGCCCAGTCCACGCATGAAATTAAGCATGGCAGTGCACTTCCCAGGGTTCCAAGCAAGAGACCCAGGGAACGCTGGTAAGTGCAATACAGAACTGGAGGGATTTGAACGTCTGTTTATTTTCTTGCAGACTTTTTAACTTGGAGGAGCAACAAATGCAGCACGCACCAGCACTTCCTGTGCAAATACCGAGTGTAGAGCACGAATCGAGGCCGCGCTCACCCCACACACGCCCCTGCCCTCCTCCCTCTGTGCATGCCGGCTGCGTCTGATCATTGTCTCAGAGCAAACACGGCAACTGAGGCTGATCGGCCCTGTCACACTCACTCTTCTAGGTTTATTAGCATCCGAGGCCTCAACACTGTATGACAGTGGCTTCTATGACAATTACAGGAAATGTGGCTTTGGTGTGATCTCGTTTGCATTTCTTAGAAGCACCCCCAGAGAGGAGAGGAAGTGTGGCTGGGCCGCCCACGCAGTTCTGGATGTGTGGATGGCCATCGGCTTCCCCCACGGTGCTGTGCCAACCGGTCAACACAGAGTCTTATGCCAAAACCTGAGAACACCCCCCTGCACCCCTGTGACCTTAGCAGCCCAAGACAGGCTAAGAAGCTGGCTCGGGGAAGGGTGCAGCGAAGGGAGGGGGAGTGAACAGACAGCGCGCTGGCCCTCCTGCCCCCTTCCCCACTTCTTCCTTCCTCCCCCCACACCCTTGTCACTCTTTTCGAAGCCAGAGGAAGACATCAGAGATAACGTATTGCTTCCTCTAAGCACGAAAAAGCTTGTTAACCCAAGGGATAAATGTCTTCATGGTGGGAGTCCAGGCAAGATGATCGGATGGAAAAGGGTCATTCTTTGGAAGCTGATAGGTCAGCAAAAAGCAACCACCAACGCCTTCGAGGGTTCTGGGGAGCCACTGTTGGAGAAACAAACAAAGGTATCAGATTCTTTGACCGAGATGGTAAGATAAATCAGGAATGCTAGACAGCCAGGGGCCATGTACGAAAATCATTGGGGCAAGTGCCAGATTCCCTGGTATTTCCTGTAAGAACTAACAGAATGTGAAGGAAACATGGATCACAATATCCCCAAAAGGCAGAGGTTCCCAACGTCTTCTGACTATGGCCCACCTACCTCCCTAATTCATTCATACTCTCTGGAGGAAAAGGAGCTCATGATGGCAGAGAAGTAAAGAGAAACAAAATAAAAATCCAAGAAGGGATGAATAACAGATGTACCAACACAAAACAAAGTAAAATCTAATAGTCATTCTGTAAATACATTAAACATATGTAACAGCTCCAGCTGAAGAGCAACACCAACCTAAAATACTCTTTTAAAAAAAAAAATTAAAAAAAATTTTTTTTTCAACGTTTATTTATTTTTGGGACAGAGAGAGACAGAGCATGAACGGGGGAGGGGCATAGAGAGAGGGAGACAGAGAATCGGATACAGGCTCCAGGCTCTGAGCCATCAGCCCAGAGCCTGACGCGGGGCTCGAACTCACGGACTGCGAGATCGTGACCTGGCTAAAGTTGGACGCTCAACCGACTGCGCCACCCAGGCGCCCCCCCCCAAAAAATTTTTTTTAATGTTTATTTATTTTTGAGAGAGAGAAAGAGAGGGAAGGGGCAGAGAGAGGGAGACAGAATCCGAAGCAGGCTCCAGGCTCCCAGCTGACAGCAATGAGCCCGACGCAGGCCTGGAACTCACAAACTGTGAGATCATGACAGCCGAAGTCAGATGCTCAACTGACTGAGCTTCCCAAGTGCCCCCACCTGAAACATGCTTGGTGATGTAGCGAAAACGAAGCACCCTCTCTGAAATTGCTGACATGCCAACAAGCCGCGTGTACGTGTGCACAGCGTGTGCTTCGCGACTTTCGCAAATAAGGATGGGCAGCTGCTTGTCTTATTAGAAGGCTGGTCCATGGGGCGCCTGGGTGGCTCAGTCGGTTAAGCGCCCGACTTCAGCTCGGGTCACAATCTCGCAGTCCGCGGGTTCGAGCCCCACGTCGGGCTCTGGGCTGATGGCTCAGAGCCTGGAGCTTGCTTCCGATTCTGTGTCTCCCTCTCTCTCTGCCCCTCCCCCGTTCATGCTGTGTCTCTCTCTGTCTCAAAAAATAAATAAACGTTAAAAAAAAAATTAAAAAAAAAAAAAAAGAAGGCTGGTCCTTGGTTAACTTTGGAAAATCAGTGTGTGCTGATTTGTGCATATCGCATTTTAGTAATCTTTATTCATTGGGTGGATATATCACTACATCATTCAACAAAAGTTTATTGAATGCATGCTATGTACTAAGAACTCATTTCAGGGACTGTGAATCGATCAACGGACAAACCAGATAAATTCCTTGCTGTTAGAGAGCATACCGTTCTGCAGGGGTGAGGAGTGGAGGTAGAAACACAATTAACTAAGTAAATAATGTTGTATGAGAAGGTGACAGGTGCTATGATGGGAATACAAAGCCAGGAAGAGGGGATGGGGAGTGGGCCTGTGTGGACTATGTACGGAATAATTAGCGTGCTTTTGGTCACAACTGATAGCCAGGCTGTCTAAGCAAGACAGAGAATTTATTGTTATATGTTACTCTATGGTCCATGACTAGATTTGGGCTTCAGGCATAGCTTGACCAAGGGCTCAACAAAGTCACCAGCATAGGGTTTTCTCTTTGCATTATTTTTGACCTTTTTTTTGCTGAGTATTAACCCCATTATCAAGCCCCATCGAATTGCAAGAATGGCTGTGGCAGTTCCCATCCTTACCTTATGAAAAAAGAGACCCCACAGCCCTCAAACAGAAGCCTCTAACCTAAGCCTCATTGGCTAAGAATCTCCTGACATGGGTTATGTGCTCAGTCCTCAACTAATCACTATGGCTAGGAGGGTGGGATGTGGTGATTAATTCCGCAAAGGGACAGCACACGTGACTCCCCTGGAGCTCAGGGGTTAGCCAGCTTCCCCTGAAGGACAGGCCACCACTGGCAGACACAGTGTCTTTGTGGGAACTGAGAAAGGAAGACACAGCCTCATGGACCCACAGGACAAAAGCAGGTTGGAATTCAGCCTTGACCTGCCCCCTTAGTTGTGTACTTGTGTGCAGTGCACCAGCCACACAACCCTCCTCTGTGGCCCTGACACGTGACACATATGTGCAAGGGGAGTCTCCACCTGGGGGCCGAGGGCCATCCTTTTGGAAACTGTCCAAAGGCTGCATGGCAGGACTTAAGAATCAGGTGTCTGAACTAAGACTGGAAAAGCATCTGATTCAAGAAAGATAACAATCAGGCGGATATTGTTTCCCAAGATGTGCTCAGTGACATAAGACTCCAGCCACAGCCTGTGGTGAATTATTACAGCGGGAAGAGCAAAGCGCTTGGAATTAAGCCCCCGGCATCTGACCTACCCTGCCTCAAAATGGCTGCATTAACATGGAGCCTAAAGTCTCTGAGCCTTCACTTTCTTCCTCAGGGATTTGAGGATTAAGTTAGCTAAAATATGTAAAGAGTCTGGAATGAGGTCTGGCCTAAGAGCTTAACAAATGTCATTGTTCTCTGTGAACGTCACATGAGATGTCCTAAGTAGCTGCTTGCTTGCCGCGACACAAACTAGCGCCCTCTGCTGGAGCGTGGGAGGACAGCTGTAGAGGAAAGACCTTGGATTCCAGAAAGTTCTGTGGATGTCTGCCTGGCTGTGGACAAGCACATAGGAGGCAATACAGACACAGGATAGTGAAGGAGGTGCACACCAAGCACTAATTTAAAAATTTAATACACATTTCCATCAGACTTACTATAATAGGTGAAGTCTTTGCATTCACTACATGAATAAAGATAGAGGAGAGTAATCTGAGGGCATTTAGATTAAGCCAGAAACCATTTATTTTAAGGGTAAATATAGGTAGCAATCTTTCTTTGTGATCTTGGGTTAGATGTATTAGGACACAGAAAGCAAAAACCAAAAAAGAAAAAAATTGAGAAACTACTTCAAAATATAATCCAAAAGAACAACAAAACAAAATGTGATACAACTATACATCCTCTTGAATGGCTAAAATAAAAAAAAAAAATTGTAATGTTTATTTATTTTTGAATGAGAGAAAGAGAAAGAGCACAAGTGGGGAAGGGGCAGAGAGAGAGGGAGACACAGAATCCGAAGCAGGCTCCAGGCTCTGAGCTGTCAGCACAGAGCCCGACGTGGGGCTCGAACTCATGAACTGTGAAATCATGACCTGAGCCGAAGTTGGAAGCTTAGCCGACTGAGTCACCCAGGTGCCCCTAGAATGGCTAAAATTTAAAAGACTGATAATACTGTGGCACCTGGGTGGCTCAGTCAGTTAAGCCTCCTACTTCGGCTCAGGTCATGATCTCACAGTTCATCAGTTTGTAGCCCCGCGTCTGGCTCTGTGCTGACAGGTCACAGCCTGGAGCCTGCTTTGGATTCTGTGTCTCCCTCTCTCTCTGCCCCTCCCCTGCTTATGCTCTGTCTCTTTCAAAAACAAATAAACATTATAACAGGAAAAGACTGATAATACCAAGCGATGGTGAGGAGTCACAGCAGCCAGAAGCCTCAAATATACATAGCTACAGGAATGCAAAAGGGTCCCTCTGGAAAAAGTTTGGCAATTTCTTATAAAAAGTTAAACAGACTTACCATAGGACCCAAAAGTCCTTTCATGGCCATTTACTTAATAAGAATAATGAGAACACATGTGCACAGAAAGACCTATACACAGTTATTAATTGTATTTTATTTTGTGATACTTTGATTCATAATAGTGCAAAACCAGAAAGAAACCCAAAGGTTTTGACTCACCTACTGGACCTACTGGTGAATGGATAAACAAACTGAGGCAGATCCACACAATGGGAAACTGCTCGGTGATAAAGGGGAACCAACTATGGATACACATAATGGGGACAGATCTCGAAAATTATGCACATACAAGAAGTCAGACACAAAAGACCACATACTGTAAGAATCTACGTATCTGAAACCCTAGAAAAGGCGAAACTACAGTGACAGAGAGCAGAGCAGTGCTGGCCAGCAGCTGCACACGGGAAGGGGGTTGGCTGCAAAGGACCATGGGGGAATGCTTTGGGGTGATGGAAATGTTCCAGATCACAGCTGCTGTGGTGGTCACACAACTGTGTACAGTTGTCACCCCATGACACTGTGCACCTAAAAAGGGTGAATTTGATGTATGTAAATTACCTCTCAATAAAACTGACCTAAAGTTATAGGAAAACTTTCCCAAAAGGGATGGAAAAGATTCACCCAGAAAGCATTTTCAGTGACTTCTCTGCTTCTGGAGAGCAAATACATGTCTGTTTTGAAAAACCTTAAATCTAAACCTATTTAGGGGCACCTGGGTGGTTCAGTCAGTTAAGCGTCGGACTTCGGCTCAGGTCATGATCTTGTGGTTTGAGAGTTCGAGCCCCATGTCAGGCTCTGGGCTGACAGCTCAGAGCCTGGAGCCTGCTTCAGATTCTGTGTCTCCCTCTCTTTCT